AATTTTGTGCCCTTTCAAATGATATATCACTCGACCCCACTTTCCATTTAAAATTTTAGGGTTGTTACTCACCCTCGCTAGGGGGTTGAAGGCACAGGTAGAAAAATACATCTAAAATGTGTCCCCCTCAAAAGCAAAATTGACCTGTCCGAGCATTTTTGCGTTAAGTTACAAAAAAAGGAGAAAAGCAAGGTGCATACTTTTCGTTGGACCACTCTGTATATTTATGAGTATATGTACTCTTTTTCTTTTTTTTTGTTGTTAACATTATTTCATTCTATGTTGTCTGTGTACAAGCTGTAATAATCGGCATATTTTTGAAATAAAGATTATTATTATCTGAATTTTTTGGTTCAAGAATTATTGTTTTCTCATATACTTCAATCATCCTCCCATAGTTATCAAATCTGCACACATTTATTTTTGCTACGTTTTGAATAATTTGTTTTTTTGTAGCCAATCGTTACTGAACTGGAAAATTTGATAAAATCCGTCTTTGAACTCAACGAAAACGGCATGATGCCACCACCACCTCCAAAATCTGCGAAGAAACGGTCCAAACCAAAGAAGAAGACATCTTCAAGGAGAAAGAGACGTAGTGAGAGTGATTCTGATGACTCTGACTAGAGAAATTTTTGAATTACTAGGGTTACTACTACTGAGCAGACAACCGATATATTTTTGTAGAATATTATTATTAAGGAACAGAAAGTTGATGAGAATCAGATGAGAGTGGATAGCTGGCCACTTTATAACAAATGTTTGTTCACGCGTACCTCTAGAAGTTGTGTACATGGTAGTGATATTTACTGTATAATTTCTAACCATTAAAGTGTTCGCTAAAGAAAACAATTGCTCAAAGAACATATTTTTATTGACTCTAGTTTTCTAGTATCCAAAAAAAGTACAAATTAAAATTGAATGTTATTTTAACCTATCTAAGGTGCCTAGTGCCGATGAAAATCTGTAATGTGGTCCTTCGAGCTGGATGAAAATCTGTAGTGTGGTTATTCAAAACAAATATACTATACCGCGGCAAACCTCATAAAACGGCAAAACGTCAACGCCATTCTAAGAAATAGATTCCACTCTGACGCCCTCTCCTCCCAGTTCAGTAGAGATCACACCGAACCCGTTGTAGACGAGAGCTTTTATCGCTCTATCTAGGGCGATCTCGTCGAAACCAGGCGGTATTAGAGCGATGGCATAACCTCCTCCTCCGGCACCGGTCAATTTTCCGTGTAGGCCTTGCTGATTTAGGATGGTTACAGCTTCNCTGATTCTTATTCCACAACAAATGTTTAAAAACAAACTGAGTAGAGAAAAGTATCTTTTGTGTAATTCAATGTTTATATAAAAATAGCTGTTTCAGGAAGACTTTCAGTTTGTGTCTGAAAGTTACTTCTTTGCATGATCTACACATCCATGTATAGAGTTACTTATTTTCAAATTGATTACTTCCTTCCTTTCTTTGGAAGATTCTCTCATCGCTTTTTTTTGTATCAGATGGAGAAGTAGAAAGCCAAAAACTTTCTTTCTGGAAAATGTTGTTGTTGAAAACATTGCATGGATTTTCGTTTAGACCCAACAAAAAATCGATAAATGTGAACATTTTTTGGATCGGTCATGTTTATTTCTATATACCACACACGTTTTTGTTTTTTTGAGGGGGCAGACCTTGGAACACTAAAATATTTCAAGATTTCAATAAATGAAATTACAAAAGTTGAAAATCCCATAGAAAAATATGAAAACCTTTGGGTTTTTGGACGTGATCTGTAGGTTTAAATGCCTGCCGTTTTGTCTAATACTGCGGGAGATTTCATCAAAGGCAATGAGGTAACTGTCGAAGAACTCGAGTAGTTCTCAACCAGAAACTGCAACGCTGAAATTTGTTTTCGATTTTATATCATCATAAGTGGGTGGGATTACAAGGTCAGGTATTTTTTTTTCAATCGCAGAGGATCTGCAGTATGACAGCTTTTTCTCTAAGTGCAATTGCCCAAAATATGTTTTTACCAAATGTATAAAAAATAAATGCAATGTTTTTTCTTTTGAATCTCCCGCCTTACAAAATATAATCTCGAAATGCCTACCAGAAAACAAAACTATCCTTGGGGAGTGGAATCTATCTTCATTAATTAACAGATAACATCAAAAGCATTTCAAAACTTCCAGCGGTGGAAGGTTACGTTCTTTTTTTATCCTTTGAGCCAGATTACAAGAGAATGACACAGAAAATTAAAATACTGAGCGAAAAAAGCAACCAGATAATGTTAGAATAACAAATTTTTCAGATAATAACTTATCTGAAGGAATCATTTTCCTGAAGGTGAGGCAATTTAAATGGAACTGTAAAAATCTTTTTCTTTTATTAATAATAATAAACAAAACTTTCCTGAGGATCTGTGCATACAAGTCAGGTCTAAGAAGGGGATGCATACAACAACATTAGAGATCAGATGAATCTATCATCTTTAAAGAATAGAAGAATTATTTTAGATGTATGTTTTTTAAGCAAAATTTTAACTGGCGACATCAACTGTGAGGAGATTTTATCTTTAATTAATTTGAATGTCAACAGACAGACCAGAGCCAGTACCGAAACATTCAAAATACCGTTCCACTCCACAAATTATGGTTTTTGCTCTCCTGTCACTCGAATGCTCAGAAATGGAAATATGTATCAACAGGTTGATATCTTAAGCAGCTCCACAAATACCATCAAAATTGAATGAGGCAAAAGTTATAGACATTCACATTTCTGATCACAAAGCTCAAATATTAACGTGGGAAATGGCAAATAAAAAGATACATCATCATACTTTTAATAGAATTTTCTCTACATATAAGGTAATCGAATTTAGTAACAAACTCAATACATTAACTTGAGATGAAGTGTATTTCTTAGATAGATCAGAGGTTGATAAGCAATGGAATACTTTTATGAGAATTTTCATGATATTATTTAATAATGAAAGCTATCTGATTAGGTCTGTTAGAACCAGGAATAAGAATAGTAAATATTTCAACAATAATGAAATTGCTGAATGGAAACGCACTTTGGATGCCTTGGTAATTTTATATAGAGTCCAACGAAAAGTATGCACCTTGCTTTTCTACTTTTTTTGCGATTTAATGCAAAAATGCTCGGGCAGGTCAATTTTGCTTTTGAGGGGGACACATTTTAGATGTATTTTTCTACCTGTGCCTTCAACCCCCTAGCGAGGGTGAGTAACAACCCTAAAATTT